ATAAGAATAACTCTAAAAATATGAATATGGAATATCATAACCTAAGCTATAAGTCGATATATATATATATATAGAATATGAAGTTATAAATAGAAGAGATATCTAAGATAATATAGATATGAAATAAAGAATATTTCGAATCAATTAATAATAAAATAATCTATATTTTTTCGATTCTGAAATTATAAAAATAAATATCATGAAAAATATTTCTTATATTCTATTAGATATTCTTTTATCAATGAAAATCTATCAATATAAGGCAAGAAATCAAATATTTTTAAATTAATATTTCCATCTTATTATCGATTATAATATATATTCGTCGCTTACATATATCTAGTAGATTAAATATGAATATAGATATATATATATATATAGATTTTCTGCCAGATTCTCCCGTCAGATTTGAGCAAATTATTGTTCGCGCCATCCACTTCGAAGCTAGAATGATCAAGTTTTGACCGATGATGGAAATCGAAAATTCAGAACTCGCAAGCACTTATAAATTATTTCAAGAATACGAATCATCTTGAGATCAAGAAATTTCAAGAATAACTGGCAAGAAGAGGATAACTAGGCTCAGATTCCATGAGATGCCGAAGGTTTCTATTCGACAAAGGTTTTAATAGAGAAGACGTGACAATATTGAGCATAAGACCGAAAGCCCTTATATCAATATAGAAGTCTTACGAAACTTTAATGATAAGAATTGTAATTTCATCAATCCCCTAATTCCTGAACCCTAAACCCTCTTTAAATGCCCCCCAGCCATTCAATCCTGATCGCAAAAACTCCTTGGCCCTTCTAAGTAGCGTGGCGTCTCTTTTTGAACTTGCCCTGCTACACGCAGGTAATTTCCCAAACAAGAACCAAGATTAAAGCTTCATCTTTGCGTTGCTTAGAAATATACCCAGCTCGAATGAACAAGCCCAGTCTATTCTCATCTGCTCAGCCCGTCGCCACTGCAAATTCTGACATTGAAACCGTAAACCCTGAACCCTTTCCGAGACCGCCTTTTTCGATTCATTTGCAGCTTCGTCGGCCTCACAGTTCATGCAGAAGTCGGAGCCTTTCCTGGGTGGTTCAAGCGCTTTCCTGGTTGAGGGGTTTAGGGGTTTGCACTTTAGATTTGGGCCTCGGGTGGTTGGCTAGGCATCCGAGCCTTGGTAACTGAAGTTGCAGCTGTTCAGGTTGACGATGAGGGAACTGCTACTGCACGGTATGGCGATGAAGATGATGACGGTGGTAGTGGGTGGTGATGAAGGGGATGGCGACGAGGACGACCAGGTTACCTATGTTCCAACATTCTGGCTGCTACTACAGAGGGTTCTGGTGACAGTTTCAGACAGCCACCGCTGTCACGGGCTCGGATGTTTCGCCGCAAGCATTCGAAGGTGTAAACGAGTGCTCTGGCACAAAATCCAACCGAGAAGTAATATAGGGGCCTTAATACTTGGAATAGGGTTTTGGGTATATTATACTTTCACTATAATGAGGAAAACCCCAGAATAGTAAACGTAATGATTTAGGCCCCTACATTACATGAGATTCTGAATGAAGGGTGGATTCGGCTCCCATGTTTGGAGTCTGTGACCCACAGAAGTGCAACACCTGCTCAGAGAGCCGAAGACCCCTTAATTAAGGAATATACCTTAAATTATAGGGGGCTTAATATGATGTTGTAAGGTAGATTCCTTAATTAAGGGGTATTGGGCTCTCTGGGTGTTACACCAGGGAAGGAACAAGTCTAGACATGTGTGCGCCGCAAAACGCAAGCCCTAGATCCTAAACCCTAAACTAGGGTCGCGAATTGTCTACGTATCCGGGGAAGGTACCTGAACGAATTTGCTACGGGTTCTGTCGTGATGCACAAGCATTTCCAAATCTACCAGCGCAAGAATATGACACTCAAGACAGTGAAACAAACCCACTACATCCAAAGCACGGCCTGCGCCGAATTGCCAACCAAAGTGGCTCGTTGATCCAGCTGCACTCCGGACCTAGATTTAGTTTGCCCAGGGCTTGAAGAGCAAAAAACCCGTGAAGCCACAAAGGATTCAGGTCGTCTAGGATCGGCCCACTCTTCAATTTCCCATGCCTGCACGTACTCACTTCTGACCTTCATGGCCCTGTTGATTCATCCATTCGTCAGCCGTGAATTTGGAACCATCGAGGGTTTAGGTTCAACACCGCATTCCAACATCGGCTTCCACAGGATGTCGTAGAAAGCCGTAGATGATAAAATGAAGAAGTATCTGGGCATACGTGAAACACTCTACTCACTGGCCCAAAACCCAAGGAAACAAAAGTTGAAACTTTCAGAATCGNNAGTTGAGTTTACAGCCAATAAGTCTATGCATAAAGCATCACTATGTATGTCCAAAACACAGCAATAATTACTATTTATTGTATAGCAAAATAACTACATTAAAGCGTGCAGCACCCTAGATTCCGTCTTGAGATTCCTTGAAGACAACGGTACGTGGAGTCTCAAGCTTCGTGCTTACCTGTATTGCCCACATGCTGTTCCGTCTTTTGGCTGACCGCATCCTCACTAACCCTAAACCCTAAACCGAATCATACTCTAAGCCCACACCCAAGACCGTGGAATGGAATCGGTAAAACAAACAAACTAAATAGGACAGAGCCTGGCTACAGGCCTGGATCTCTCAGGACTCCGATACTCCATATGGGGGTTTCCGAAAATTAGGGGTACCGTATTTTGGGGTCCTTATATTAAGGAACCTATTATTTAGGGTACTATAGTAGGGTCCCTATTTTCAGAAACCCCCATATTCTACGGCTGTTCTAATGCAGGTGTCAAGCGAACGGTAAAAGAAACAGAAACGATATCCAGCAAACAGCACTCTACCAGTCTTCATGCGCTCAGTCAAAGCTAATACTGAGCTTCAGGCATACCCAGCCCGCCCAGCCTTTGCAGCAAAGAAGGAGGGGCACGTGGAACAACGGGGTTGAATGTGGATACCAGGACCACCCGACAATGCCGGACTGCACATGTGAAAGCTCGTCTTAGTCTTAGAAGAAGGCTTCGTGACCACAAGACGTTAGATAGAGAAGTGTGATCGAACGTCCACATTATGGCTATGTAGGGACCGGAAAGAATCAATACAATCCCCTTGTAAACCACTACCCTAAACCCTAAACCTGAACTCATGGCCACCAATCATTAAGCCCCTAAAAGCCCTAGACCCTCAACCCTCAACTCTCAACCCTAAACCCCGAAACCCCTAAAGCCCTAGACCCTCTGGCCTCTCGTCGGCTTGGGCCGGTTCCGATGCCCCTGTGGGCTGGGTACATCTGGGCACTCCCAGCCTCGCAGAGGCTGAGGTTCAGCGCTTGAGGATTCGGAGAGGTGTAGGAGTTCAGGGTTTAGGGTTTAGGGTTTATGGTGCTTAGTAGGGGTTTAGGGTTTAGGGTTTAGGGCTTAGGGTTTAGGGGTTTAGGGGTTTTGGGTTTAGGGTTTTAGGGTTTAGGGTTTATGGTGCTTAGTAGGGAATGGGGGAATGGATCCCTATGATAGTCCCGTGCCTTATAGGTTTAGGCTGTCTGGGGGAATGGATCCCTATGATAGTCCCTCAAGGTCCCTTATAGTAGTCCCTATAACTCACTCCCCCATTCCCTACTAAGCACCAGACAGTAGGGGCTTTAGGGTTTTTGGTTTGGGGTTTAAGGTTTAGGGGTGTAGGTTGCTTGAAGATTGGGTTTAGGGATATGGAGGTTTCGGTTCTGCCACCAGGCTGCTCACGGAGCAAACCAAAACTTGAAGACCGGCTTAGTAGTAGGGTGGCCGGGCAAACTGTCTCCGAGGTAGCACTCATGGATTATCGGAGCACCCTGTTCACGCACAACAGGAATACTGAAATCGCAAACTTGACGGAGCAGGTCTCTGCCGAAGAATACATAGGGTTTTGTGGAGTAGAGTCTCCATGATGTTTCAAATGCAGTCACATGCACTGTGAGGTATTTTCAATGGTGCCACTGTCAGTCACTCGGCTGCTGGAGAATCCCCCCATGCGGCTCAGAACTGTCGGGGTTACCGCTAACCCAATACATGCTTAAACCTCTTTTTCATCGTCAAGCAGAGAGAACCATGCTCGCTGAACTGCAGGGCAGCATTCAGGGATATGAGCATGGAGGGAAAACAGTGAATGAGGTGTGGTCTTCCTGGATCATGAAAGTTGATACTAAACGGGGCCTTAGTAATTCTAACAGGGTTTTGAGGTTTATTGGTACTTACAAGGAAAAGCCCAAGTAGTATTGGTATTTGTTTAATTACTTGCTGACTTCCGGTGCCTTTCTGGGTTTCATCTTGGACCCTGATCGCACAGCTCTAATGTCGGGGCCCTTAATAATTTGAAAAGGGTTTTGGGGTATAATATACTAGAACTCATAATAAGGAACCCCTCAAAAATACTATTGGCATTTATTGTGGAACTTATGATAAGGGACCCCCCAGGTACTGTTGGCTTTTATTGTGGCACCTTGCCTGGCTTCGCCAGCTGGTAGAAGAAGAAGGTACCTTTCCCCGACGGCCTGGCCAAGGACATTGAACCTTTGTAGTTTAGGGTTTAGGGTTTAGGGTTGGTTCCAGGGACTTCGGTCGAAGTGCGGAATGAAGACTCTCTGTTGATGTGAAATCAAGCCTGAAATAGTTTCTGCATGGGCTCGGAACGTGCCTTCCAGTTGTGAACGGTAGTACAAAGTTGTTCCTGTGTGGCTGGGTCGATCGAAATTGTATCCCTCCGCGGAGCACCTTGCGGAAGGAATCCATGACAATAGCGTGCTATCAATTGTAAAGCCCAAGCCCTGGACGAGCTTCCAAGATTTTCCACACAGCCTTCATACGCAGAGCTTGTGATGGAAGTAGCTTTGGACTGAGGAGTTTAGTGAGGGCCTAAGCGTCTGTCACAAGCTCGAGTGCCTGCGAAACTATTGCTGTGAAAACGCTGCTTCCAACGTGTTTCATTTTGCTGCCACGAGTACCTGCCACCACTCGTCCTTGTTTTCCTTCTCCTGTGCTCTAGTCATGTCCGTCTGTCTGTTGGCCGGTTTAGGGTGCAGGGTTGTTTCAATCTGCTCACGGCAGCAAAACTGCCGCCGGCACAGCTGTTGCGCCACGCCTCTGACCCCAGCCGCTGCAGCAATGATAGCTGCGTGCGCAGCTGCCGTCTCCAACTTGATACAGCAACGACACTGATGAGTACTTGGAGACTTGGAAGCATGGGACTTAGTAGGTAAGTTATAGGTACCGTAATTGGGGTTATGAGTAATTACGAAGATGGTTACCCGCTTAGCTACCCCATAATAACCATACTTACTAAGTCCCATGATCGTTTCCGCTTTGAGGACCCCCTTGAAGGAACAATACTACGTCCCATGATCCTCCAGTGCAGCCCAGGCTGCCTCACGGCAGCTTGGATGAGCCTGGGCATAAGCTTTGGGACTTAGGAATTTTTGAAGGAGACTTCTTGCTTGAAGGCAGTAAGTCCTCGGATTTCAGACATGGAAGATCTGTTAAGCTTAGTGCTAGGCGTCTCTATTTCCCTTCGGCGCCTAGGGTCTCGGATGCAAGTTTCGATGCTTCGATCGATCTGCTTCTAATGGCAACGCCCAAACTCCACGAACGCCTGGCCCCCCGCAAGCATGCTAATGCGGACACATGAAGACTGCAAGCATGGGATTGAGGCTTCCGGTCGGGAGTGGAGGATCTACATAATTGGAGGAATATGGAACTCCGAAGCCACTAAGCCCTCAACGCGAAATTGAAAATTACTTGAAAAAGACCTTCTCCTGTTTAGCTGAGTCACTTCAGGACCATCGCATCCACACCAAGGATGTCCTGCCACGACCCGAAGCTAGCTTTCAAAGTAGAGGGTACGTGGTCAGTCTGGGGCAGGCTTGGCCCAATGCTGCCTGATATTTCTGGGCTTAGGATTTAGGTTGTATGGTTCAGGGGTTTCGGGGTTTAGGAACGAAGGCCTGGTGAACTTTTGAAATGAAATCCTTAATGAACTCCAAAACTCCCTAAGTTCTATCACCTTCTGGAGACACCACGTGGGAACGTCGATCTCTTGGGCTCGTTCATGCTTGGAGCCCTGAACTCAACACTGAATCGCAAATCCCACCCAAGGGCACAGGTCAGTGAGGGGACACCGCGTGGCCTCGGATTCAACAAAAGTAATACCCTAAACCCCTATTCCTAAACCCCCACACCCTAAACCCCCAAACTCTAAACCCCCAAACTCTAAACCCCCAAACCCTAAATCCCCAAACCCTGAACCCCTCAACGCCCAAACCCCTATAACCAATAACCCTAAACGCCCAAACCCTAACCCCTAAACCCCCAAACCCTAAACCCCTAAACCTCCAAACCCTCAACCCCTAAACCCTAAACTCCAAACCCCTAAACCCTAACCCCTAAACCCTAAACCCTATAACCCTATAACCCTGAACCCCCAAACCCTGAAGTCCAAAACCCCTAAACCCTAAATCAAGGCCTGGTGTGTCAGGCTTCAGGCTTGGGTTGTTGGGTTCAGGGTAGGGTTTAGGGTTTAGGGTTTAGGGTTTAGGGTTTAGGGTTTAGGGTTTAGGGTTTAGGGTGCCATACAAAGCCCCAGGCCTTCAGGGTTTAGGGCTTAGGGTTTAGTTAGGGTCTAGGGTTTAGGGTTCAGGGCTTAGGGTTAAGCAAGGGTTTAGGGTTTAGTTAGGGTTTAGGGCTTAGGGTTTAGTTAGGGTTTAGGGTTTAGGGTTAGTTAGGGTTTAGGACTTAGGGTTTAGTTCGGGTTTTAGGGCTTCGTGTTTAGTTCGCGTTTAGGGTTTAGGGTTTAGTTCGGGTTTAGGGTTTAGTTCGGGTCTAGGGATTAGGGTTTAGTTAGGGTCTAGGGCTTCGGGTTGTTGACCTTGACCTCTGCATCTTTCGACTACGTTGTATGCTTGCCGACTAGGTTGGGACTGGGCCGGGGTGGTCGGAGGCAGGAACGGAGGCTTCCCTAAACCCTAAACCCTAAACCCTAAACCCTAAACCCCTAAACCCTAAACCCTAAACCCTAAACCCCTAAACCCTAAACCCTTAAGGTTTCTGGGTTTTGGGCTCCGGGAACTCTTCGGGCTCAGGGGTTTTGAGGGAACTTTGAAGGTTTGGTTTTCGGTTTAAGTAACTCTTCGGGCTTTTGCTCAGACTAAGACAAAAAGTACCAATGTTAATAATAACCGTAATAAAAATGATAGCGATAATAAGGATCATATGCTTTATAAAACAGTTATCACCCTAAACCCTAAACCCCAAACCAAGATACTTCCAACTCAAAGCCGCCTGGCCGCGGTTTCCCAGGCGCATAAGCAGCGGGCTCGCCCTGCATTGCGAGAGGCGGCTTCCGAAACTCCAGCTCTAAGGCTCCAAGATTTTGGGGGGTAGAGATTAAGTTGAGGGTTTTGAAGACTGAAAGCAATAACATGCTCCTAGACTTAGTACTGGCCAAGACGAAGATCAAGAGCTACAGGACAGTTACGTGCGACAGTTGCATCTGCAGAGACGGCAGTTGACACACGATGACTAATGTTCACAGCAGTCTGTGTCTGCTGGTCATAGCAACGAAGAGAATCGAGAACAATCCACTTTCATTACGCTCTGCTACTGCTACGCTGCTACGCCACCCTGACTGCGACGCCGACGACTACTACTACGATTGCTACTATTACTACCACCCCTGCTATTACTCTTCCCCTTCCTGCTCCCCTGCTGCTGCTGCTGCTTCCCTCTGCCACGGCAGCGACAAGTACTGCGACTAGTGCTGCTGCTACTGCTGTTCTATGATTGAACTACTGTTGCACCACGGGTAGTGACGGCGACGACACGGCTTACTGCGACGAAAGTAATGACACTCGGGCGACGAAGATCGTGATGCTCAAAGTATCCTTGACGACGACGTTCATATTGCTTTTGATCTTGTTCATGTCGGTGGTGACGGTACATCCTGTGCATCCGTCTCGATGCTCTGATCTGCATATGTTGTGGAAGGCCCCCGGGCATCAACTGAAGTCAACAAGGCGGCACACCTGACAAAGCGCACGCGCAGCCCCATCTTGCCTAGCACGGAAGGCTGGCTGCTTCTCGGTTGGGGCCAGAGTGGAGATGATGCAGGGGCCTTGATAATTAGGCTGGGGTTTTGGGCTCCTTTATGGTACAACTATAATAAGGAACCCTAAGGAATCATGTTGGTAGTTAGTAGTTGTTTCGGCTTCTATGCAGCTTGGGCTTTAGGATTGCTGCTTGTGGAGCTTGTTGCAGGTCAGAAACCGCAATCCTGACATAATTGACGGAACTCTCCTCCCCAAAACCCTATGATCTATGCTGGGCCCTTAACCCTGAACCCGAACCCTAAACCCTAAACTCTCATAACACCGAAAATCTCCTACAACCCGGCCTGCAAGGCCTAACAGGGCCCCAAAACGCTGGGCTCCACGAAATTGCACGGTTTAGTTTAGGGCTTAGGATATATGTTTGGGACCATAATAGGGATCTATGGTACATGCTATGCTTTCCTTATTCTTGCAGTTAACTTAAGCTCACCTTTTTAACAAAGCCCAGAAAAACCAGGGCCGGGACCATAGAGGGCACCCCCTTTCCTGCACGAGAGCTTGCGGGATTTGTGCGGGCTTGGGTCGTCTGGCAGTCTCATGAGGCTTCCTAAGGCGTGGAGCTGTCTTCCCGCATCTCATAACGAACTCACATAACCGTAGTATCGCTCCAGGAACAGATGCTGCATTTAGGGATGGACGAGAGTGGTGAAACAGCTAAACCGTAAGCCCATGGAAGCCACAAGGCGCCTTGAGTCTATGCCCATCCTCATTCTTCCACTCCCTCCCCTCAGCGCCAGATTTCAGCCCTGAACCCAATAATTAAGTCTCAACCATAAGCCCTGAAAGCCCGAACCGTAACCCGAAAGCCCACACCCTGAAGCCTCTGAAGGCTAAACCCCAAAGTCTGAAGTTTAAACCAAACTACTTTTGACGATATAAATCCTGCAATACCTTCAGGACCCGAAACTATGAGAAATATGGTATATTCCTTATTTTGGGTAATGCAGGATTTATCAGAATTTATATCATCAACCGTATGTTCTACCCTAAACCCTAAACCATATAAGGGTTCTATGAACATGAGGGCCTTTTGGTATATTTCTAAATGCAGGATTTATATCATCAGCCGTATGACGCCCGATACCTTGGACTTGAAACCCAGAATGGGCAAACTCCTCCCTCAGGGCTGAAAGCTGCCAACCCTAAGCCTAGAATCCTCAACTCTAAACCCTAAACTCTGAACCCTAAACCCTAAACCAAAACCCGAAACCCTAAGACTCCCTAAAACCCTAAACCCTAAACCCTCAACTCTAAAACCGTAAGCCCTGCCTGAGTTGCGGAAGGCCAGCTTCCCGGAGGTCACCCTGCGTGGGGGCTCGTCGGGCTTAGAGCCTTAGGCTTTGAAGGGTTTAGGGTTCAGGGTCTTAGGG